GAAGAATAGATTTTAAAATTTTTGTGATTTAAGAAAATTAAACAATTCTTAAAAATAGAACAGATATTAAAATTTTTGTGTTTTAACAAGTTTATCAATTCTTAAGAATAGAACAGACAAAAGAGTACATTTTCAGAAGAATTGGTCGATGCTCCTCAATTATAATACTTTTCCATGAAATTTGAATAAAGCCGATTAATAACTGCGATACCATATGAAAGAATATTTTTGTGGACGCGATTAAATAAGAACGAACAACTGCATGTCGCGTGCGATCCAAGAACCAGTACATTTATTACCAAAGATATATATATATGTATATATGTATAATCTTGTATAACACAATAATATGCATTGTGGTGATAGTAACAACGTAAATACCTGTACACATTAGTAAATGCAAGCCCAAAAGTAAAAAAAAAACTAGCATAAATCACAAAACTAGATAAAACGATTAACGTTAATCACAAATTTAGTGCTTATATCTTTCCTTCTTTTTTCTCTTTTCTAATGTTACGTCTAATCTTTCTCTTCTTCCTTCAAAAATCTAACTCAACAGTTATATATCCTACACGAGAATTACTCACAACATTCGACTTTATTGCGCCAATACTCGCAACTATGTCAGTAATTAATACGATACATCAACTGTATAAAATGAACAAAGAGTATTGATTAATTAATTAATTATTAATAGTATTTAAAAGAAATAATAAATGCTCGACAAGCGTGACATTCCCATTCAGAGCGCTGATTCACTAAAAAGAAGAATATTAATTGTTGGGAAGAAAAAGAAATTCATTAATGAAATTATTAGTAGCACATCTGACGAAGTACAATTTGACAGTGATTAATTTAGTTTTTAACGCAGATTATTTGTATCGATGTTATTAGAATCGAGACTTCCGGACGGAGTTGTGATGACACCAATGTGATCGGTCCATGATGGCGGAGCGACTGCTTCGATCTCCTCGGCTACCTTCGTGGTGAAAACCTTTTAAGCACACAAAAAACGACCACACTGACTCACTGTTAACCAGCTACAACTTTCTTCTGCCACGTAATCTTACCTCGGTAATCATCGTCACGATCCATTTCTTTCACATGCGACCTTTCATAATTTTTTAATGCTACCTTACCGCTTTCTTCTCTCTTAAGTGTATTACACGAATGCCGCGGAGTTTTAGAACTTCTTTTTTTTTTTTTTTCGCTGCAAGTTATTTCTACCGAATGTGTGCTTGTTTGGGTAAAGAGAAAAAATCGTAATGCGGGGAAATCTGATGAGAAACATAATGTTGAATAATTTGGTCGAATTAATTAGAAAAAAGATTAATAGTGTGGATGAAATCCTGGGTGTAGTGCTTGATATGAGAGTATTTTTAGTAATTTTCTTCTGTTATTTGTAGATATTGATTCTTTTATCAAATTTTATTGAATTATTGATCATTATTTTGAGTGTGTTTCATTGTACATGAAAGTAACATTTTTTATTAATTTTATAGTTTGTTTTTCTACGGATTTGCTTTTTATTATTATCAATTCATCGTTTGTTAGCATCATGAGAATGTATTTGATGGTTTTTTTTAATATTTAGTGTCTTATAATTATGTTTTTATGGAAATATCGCAACAATCTTACCTCGACAGGTGTAGCTGGTGTAGTGGACGAACTAGTGATCGATGGCACAGTGGGTTGATAAATATTATTTTGCTTTCTGACAAACAATTCCGCTCCTTTGTACCTTGCGCTAAATCGGGGCGGTGATCCGTTAGGTGTAACTCTGGGAGGTGAATTCTGTTCACAGTTAATTTAGAATTAGTCGTTAAAGTTGACAAACGATGACTACGTGATATATCTTGTTTGAAATGAAGTATTAAAATAGTGAGAGTTAGTCAAATTTAACATTTATCATCAGATGTGAAAACTAAGTTAACCCATTTAGGATCGTTAATTCCGTAAGGGAGTATTTCAATATTTACTCAAGGGTTGTGATTTATTTGAAATAAAAAGTTTGCATTCTCTATGTGGGAACATGTCAATATTCGCTCAGATTAACTTACAAGGGAATTTCGGTAATTCGAAAATTCAAAAAGATTTGAAACTTGAAAATTTGAATTAAAAGCAGTGGAGGTGAATTTTTGGAAAAAATTAAGTGGTGAGGATAATTTTTTCAAGAGATTAAGAACGGTGGGAGTAAATTTTGAAAAAATTAAGAGCGATGGGGGTAAATTTTGAAAAAAATTAAAAGCAGAGGAGATAAATTCTGATAA